ACAGTAATGGAGTCAGATCTTGAAATTGGTGCTTGTCAATCTGAATCAGATATGGACATTGAGAGTTGTGATGAAAGTAGTATAAATGAGGTGAAACTGTGTCATCATCTGAAACGTGTAGCATCACTGGACAATTTACCTGCCCATAAAAAATCTCTGGATCATTCAAATATAAATCATTTATCCAAGTCTATCCAAGGGATTCCCAATGAAGTTTCAAGATACGATAAAAATGGCAACATTGATGGCTGTATTGAACAACATCTTATGAAATGTAAGTATGAAATTGAAAAAATAAACTGGACAAAGTGATAAATATTAAACATTTTGGTAAATTTCAAATACTGGGAAAAAAAATAAATCGTCAAGAATTTATTTGACATCCACCAATAGCTGACTTAAAGTGACAGTGTCTCTATACAGTGTGAGTTCTGGTCTAATTCATACAGTCCTTCAAGGTATATAAGTTTGAACTTTTAAGAAGATGACAGCATTCTCTTTATTGCAAACCCTGAGTCATTAATACCTTGATCAGGAGAAAAAAAACCATGTTGTTTTCCCTTTAAACCAAATTTCAATTTTACAAGTCAAATAACATTACCAACTATTAGAATTAGGTTAATGGGTGTAACATTGTGTCTTGTACAAGTTAATGTCAGACACAAAGTAAACAAATAGAAAATGCACATGTTTCCGTTGATTAATATATTTTTTATCAATAAAGACTGACTTTTCTAACCTTTGAAACAAAATGACAAAAAATGTGTAACCTTCAGTAAAAACATTATGATGATGTCAGGAGGAAATCTTGTGAGCCTTGGTTTCAAATACCTTTACATTGATAAATTTTTGTGTATTTTTAAGATTAACCACTATTACTCTGATGATGTTAAAATTTTTTCATGTTTATTACCTTCAGAAACAGAAAGAGGGATACTAAATGAATATTGGGAAACACATAAAAATGATTTTTGAATTGTTGACATCAGTAGGAAGTAAAACTCTGTCTCATTTGAGGGTTTAGATAAAGAAATATCAATAAACTGAACAATATTTCAATTTATTCATATCAAAATTATTGTTCAAAAGACTAAATTATTACAAAGAGAGCTCATTCAGTGAAATTGATATTTTATTATCAGTAGTATGCTACATTGAAACATTATATTATATATTTTCATTTGTTTTTTCATTACTTTAATATCATTATATTACATTTGATATATTTTGTTGTATGATAGTCATATCTTTTTATACGACCACATCTCTCTATGTGGACGTATATTGTCGGCACCCCTGTCCGTCCGTCGGTCCGTCAACATTTGCTTGTAAACGCTCTAAAAACTTGATTTTTTGATGGAATCAATTGAAATTCGGTATGTGTATACATATTCATAAGACGAAGATCAAGTGTGAAATTGAGCTATTTTCGACTGTCAGAAGCAGAGTTACTGCCCTTGCCCCAAAATCTTGAATATTTACCATCCGCATGCCGTGGTCGGCGTATATGGCTGTGGTCCACTATCTTTATATATGTAAACAACACTTAACCCTTTTAACCCTAGCATCTGGTTTACTGGCCACACACTTACACAATATATACCCGAGCAGCCGGTATAATGGCCATTACTAAGTGACATCATACAACGTTAACGTCATACGCTTTTACTTTTATTACTTGGAGTTCAGGGTATATGATTTTTATATGCCCACCTGCCCAAGTCCGTCGGTCCGTCTGTCTGTCCACAATTGCTCGTAAACACTCTACAAGACACAATTCTTGACGGATTTTGACAAAACTTGGTATGAATGTTCGTAATCACCCAAGGAATATTTAGTATAATTTATTGCCCTTGTTCTTAAAAACGCGTTCAATTTTTAGCTTGTCAACACTCTAGAAGGCACAAGTCTTGATGGATTTTGTCAAAACTTGGCATGAGTGTTTGTTACCAACCAAGGATAAACCCTATTGAAAATCAGAAAAATCAAAAAATATTTAGTATGAGTTATTGCCCTTGTTCTTGAAAACGCGCTCAATTTTTAGCTCGTAATCACTCCAGAAGGCACAATTCTTGACAGATTTTGATGAAACTTGGTGTGAATGTTTGTAACCACCCAAGGATGAACCCTATTGAAAAGCAGAAGAATTGAAAAATATTTAGTATGAGTTATTGCCCTTGTTCTTGAAAACGCTTTCAAATTTAGCTCTAAAAGGCATGATTGTTGCTGGATTTTGACTATACTTGGTTTTATTATTCCGTCCCAGGCTAAAGATTGAATATTTGCTTTCTAGAGTGTTCACGAGCTAAAAATTGAAAACGTTTTCAAGAACAAGGGCAATAACTCATACTCAGTATTATTCAGTATCGCCCTAAAGAGTTCAAAAGAAGTGTATGACTGAAGGTTGAATATTTCATACTGGTGATTGTTACTGTACTGCTAAATATTTTTATTTAAAATCAAAGCTGCCAGTGGGCGTATATTACCTTGCCTGGCAAGCTATCTTATATTTCATTTACACTCAGGGTTCAAAGGGTTAAATAGAACACAAAAATGTTAAACACTTACCTTATGTGTACCCTTTTAGTTATTTGGATGTTCAGTTGTTCCTGAGTTAATAGCTTTTAACCTATTTCTTATCTTCATAAGCTTGATCAGGTCCATAAAAGAAGTCATGATTCCATGGATTTCATCTTTATATTAGTTATTTGGATTCATGAATCAGCATTGTTTCATGTGTATTGATATATTTCAAAATGTATCTTTAAACAAGGTTTTGAATTAAACTTTGACAGTTAATCTAACTTAATTACTTTGTCCTTGTTAAAATTTCTGACCTAAATTAAAAAAAAGTTAAAAACTAAATATATTTATACAAGTTATAATTGTATTTCTTCTCATCAGGATGTTTCCTGTTAAAATCTCAACTTTTCTCTTTTCATATATATAACCTTTTATATATTACATTTGTTGTCAATTGCTCTTCAGACTTGAAACTTCGAGTATCCTCAAATTTTGAATTATTTTACTGAAGTTGTAGTCTTATGTTTCCATTTTGACATCAGATATTATTCTGGAAAATCTTCAAATTTTGAAGAAATTGGACATAACATACATTATTTTGATTAAGTTAAATTAATTATCTGTGGATTAAGGAATCTATAATCAATTAGAAAGTGTAGAGAAATCACAATGGTGATACAGCGTAATTCAAGCACCTGTAGTCTGAAAGGTAAAGTTATGTTTTGTTGCCTATGTTTTATAAGAGATGTGTTAAGAGTTATGTGTTAAGGGTTATGTGTTAAGGGTTATGTGCTAGAATTTCGGATCTGAAAGGTTCAGATTCTTTAGATCTGGAAATTGCGGTGGACTCGTAATGTGATAAGTAGATCAAATTCTTTTTGTATGATGTAGAAATTTATTAGAATAAAGCATTTATGTCAGGAGTATAGTTTCTTCTTTTATGGTCGAAAATTTGGAATCAGGATTGATTTGTCTTTTCAAAGCTTTCAAATTTGACTTCCAATAAAAATTTCTGTGGTTGAAACTTGGTTAAAAAGAAAACTTTTGCAATGTTTGTTTATTTTGTCCACTGTTATTAATACATTTTTACAATATTATTGACTAGACAAATGATATCTATTGATTAAGATAGTAATATTTCAATCTGTATGATACTGATAAATATGATAATTATAACTGCAGTGTCATATGATTATATCCTACAAAAGTTTCTTTAAAACACTGTTATTGTCAGTCCATCAGGATTCTGTTACTGTTTCAAAACTGAGAACCAACGTCCTAGCCGAAAAAACTAGAGACAGAGGTATGACTTGATCTTTACTGTAACAGTATGTAACTTGGATTTCAGGTAATGGTACCTGTTTTTTTTTTTTTTCATTTGATCATTTTATGGTCTGTTTAAATTGTAACTGTGACATCTGGTCAAGGTCTTGCGGACTTTAATGTTACCTATTCAAGAGTCTGATTGGAATTTTGTGATATTTCACATGCTCTGCAAAATAGGTGGGAGACCAAAACTAAATAAAACAATTGTATGCCTATCTTGCAAGTGCCACTACAAAGAATTATCCCAAATGTTCCAATTAAATATTAAATGTTAAAATTAAAATCTCTATGATGTAATGTAGGTTATACTGATAATCTTTTATGTATAGAACTCAATAGATAATATCTACCCATAATTGAGAGATAATTCTTATAATTGATAACATTTTTAATAACATAGAGTTATAGATGTACCTTACATTTTATAAGAGTTAGGATGCATTCTTGCTCTAAATATATGTAGATAGTAAATGTTCATTGTATAAAAGGTGAAGATAATGATGCGGATTGTTTCATTTTTTTTTTATGTCAGTCATGAAATTATCCACTTTATTTATATATCAAAGAATTTGTTCCATGTTATGTTGTGATTTATTTTAATATTTTAAAAGAGTGAAATTAAAAAATGTGATTTTAAGGTGACAAACACTAATACACACTGTCAATATCTCTCTTTAAACATTCCATACTAGTGGCATGCCAATAAAACATCTGAAGTGCTGATCTGAATCTGAATTGGCAGTCTATATACATAATGTAACACTGTAACTAGAAAAGGCTAAAAAAATGATTGATTAATGTGATATTTTCATAATTTACTGTTTAAAACCCTTCTACATATTTCAACTGGAATGTTAATTGTTTAGAACTTGCTCTAGGTTCCTGATTTCTGTCAAAACCAGATGCTGGTGTTTTTTTTATATTTTGGTTCCAGATAATGTAGACTATGGTTGTGATGAAAGAACTCAATTTAAGGATGTATTTAATTAGAGTGTTTTTAATCAGCAATACAGTCTGTGATATTAGTTAGCTGGGAGTGGATGTTAACTAATATTCATCCAATTAGCCAACCGACATTAATCACCAATAATTAAACTAATGTATGCAATCTGTTATATATTTCAGTTCTATGTGCCGACAGGGTGACACAGATGACCAAAACATACAATGATATTGAGGCAGTTACACGCTTATTAGAAGAGGTCAGTTGCTATATTAATGTTATTCTTGAAAACTCTGCAGCGCCCGGGGGGGGGGGCTCTGTACCCACTAGAAAAATGGTTTGCACCCCTTATTTTATACCCACTTTATTTTTAACAAATTTAAAAATATGATTTTATACATTTTTGCCCCTAAATAATGTCAGAATGAACCAATTCAATATTTTGAAAGGTTTTTTTGTGAGACCCCTCACAGATGCTCCATGAGAGGCTTGAAACTATGACACCTCCATAGAGCTGCCTGGACAGTTGTCCCCCCATTTAGTCCCTATTTATACCACTAGTTTGGGGAAGCTGATGCCACCACTTGTACATGCAGAATTATAGTGCACTATTATTATTTTATACTCTGTCATCTAGTAATACATTCAGAATGTTCTTGTATCTTTGTATTACAGAAAGAGCGTGATTTAGAGCTAGCTGCACGAATTGGAACAACTCTACTTGAGAAAAATCGTGATCTGGAGTCACGATCTGAAAATCTAGAAGAGCAACTATCAGCAGCCAATGACAAGGTAATTAACTTATTTACTGGTATTGAAATACTATCAGACAATGTGATTGGTTAAAATAGGCATTGTAATATGTTCAACCAATCACAGTTCCTAGTGCTTTAAGGTATATTTTATGGAAGTCCTTGGGCCAATGTCATCATATCCATATTTATGATGATTTTAGTGTGTCAGTCATCTCATTATTCAATCAATGATATATTTTGTTGGTACAAGTTTGACTGTATATTTACAGGTCAGTCAGTTACGCCATGATGTGTCTATGAAAGATGAGCTACTACGAGTTTATTGTCAAGATCTAGAAGATGATGGCACAAACGCACCTCAAGTTAGTCCAGAGTAAGTACTGCTGGTTAAATTTTTACGCTGTTTATAATGTGTACCCTGAGGTTTTTCGCAAGCTCTAGAGTAAAATACTGCGCACTACACAATCAAACATGTAGTAATTTAAGCTTTTAAACTAGACCTTTTATAAGATATCTGTTATTATAGTCTATTGATTGGGCTCTTTATCATGCATCGAAGTATATTTTTCTAGTGACTTTCTCACTTAAATCCAAGTGGTATTAAATAAATTCCTCAAAATACATGACACAGATAATTTGAGGGTGAACATATATCTTGTACTGACCATAATCTTAGAACCTATATCAAGAGTCCTGAGTATTTTAATATGATTGTATTATTTTGAAAAGTGAGTTCAGCTGGTACAGCAGAATATTATATCTAATATAATCATTATAATAATTATAGAGATGGAGGTTTATCACTCAGTGTTATTAAAGTGGAAGGATTACACCAGAAAGTTAAAAGTCTTGAAGATGAAAACCTCACACTGCGACTTGAGGTACGGTACATTATTTTTCCCTCTTCGCTTTTTGTCAAAGCAGGGCCTAAAAAATAGAAAAGCACTATGTGTTTCATTAACCCAATTTGTGCAGAAGTCGTGAATCTAAGATTAAATAATTTTACATCATGTAAAATGTATTTTTGATATGGCTGAAGTAAAAGAAGGAAATGTTCAAATTGATATTTTAAAATTAGAAAATGAAAATGTTAATGATATGAAAATGAAAATAATATGAAATTTTTAAGGTATGTTATTAGACAACAAACCTCTAGGTGTTAAATTATCATACTTTTCATTTCATTGTTTTCATTAAAGGGACAGGTGTGCCATTATTTGACCTATGGTACCTTAGTCACAGGAACTGGAATTTTTTAGCTCAACTCACAATCGAAATTTTAGCCTTTGAATCCTTGTGTGTTCAGAATTATCCAAAGTTAAAATGAGGACTCATCATTTTAAGATACTCTGTGATATAGAAAAGACATATATAGAAATAGAAATTAAAAGTCCTAGTTTGAAGTATTTTTAAAGGAATTATGCTATTTTCGTACATTTCTAGTACTTATGAAGACTATTTGCATGTAAACAAAGACCCAAATCAACCCCCTGAAATGGCAAACCTGTCCCTTTAACTGTTACCAAGTTGCTATACAATGTAAATCAAACAGTGAAGTTTAGAAAATGCCAATCACTCTAGCTTGTTCAATTCATTATAATTCAAGACTACTAAAATCACTATTCCTGTATTTCTTAGAATATTTTAATCCCCAATATTATATTAACCCATATAGGGCCATGTTCTTGAAAACATAATGTAAGATGATATAAGTGTTCCAGTCATCTCTATTTTTGATGTTGAGCTCAAGTATAATTTGATTAATTAATTGAATGATATTACTATTGCAGACAGCCCAGCTTAAATCTGATACTAGTGTTATGGAAGAGAAGGAGAAAAAGCTAGTAGAAGATTGTTTACAACAATTAGGTATGCTTATAAATTTGATGATCATTAAGATATGACCAAGGCTAATAAGAATGCTTTGCTCATGGTATATTCTTGCCTATTTATTATGATCAGAAGCAGATAATTGAGGTATGAAACTTGCTTATAATTTCATATTGGAAAAAATGAGGATGAATCAGGGTTAATTGTGGAAATATATGTTCTGCTTACAGCTGAAGTAAATCAACAAGTCGAAACCTTCGCTGAAGAACTGAGCAAAAAATCAGATGACAACATACATCAGAAAGAAGAAATAACATCATTATTGGCTAAGATTGTAGATTTACAGAAACGTGTTAGAAGTGTAAGTTATGTTTTGTTTATTATTTTAAATTGTAAGTGGAATGGTATTAAAACAGAAATTGTGGAATTTGTCTATATATTTTTTCAATTGTTAAAATAGAAACCAAAACTTCAATACTGAATGCATTTTGAGCAGTATTCCTTCATAAAGCTTGCTGCACATATTTTTTTGTAAGCTTAAGCTTGAGCTTATACTATAAATTTTTACTCTAAGCTTTTGGGATAGTTTTAAAACTGTTTATTGAAAATTTTCCATGGTTCATGGTTGTCATATGAAAGATAGAACCATTATTTATATCAGATCAGTGACCTTTATCAACTGTTTTTTTTTTACAGCTGACAATAGAAAATATGGAATTATCCAAACATCTACAGGCTTCACAAGAATCTCAACGTAAACTCACTAAAGAGGTTAGTATCTTTTCTATTTTAAAGGAGAGGTTGATGTTTACATAGAGATTTAGGTAAACTTATTTGTTTTCTCCTGTCAGTGACGCTGGTGAACTTGGATATTTTATGTGTGCAAGCTAAATGGAAATCGAAATACACTTATTGGAAAAATTTCACTCATTTCTTACTGTATGGCATAGTCCATCTCCATGAGCAGATTCATGACAGAAAAATTAATTCTGTTCAAGATTGATATGCTAATTTTATGTTTCTATTCTAGTTGGGAATGATGCAAGATAAATATGATGAATTATTTGAGGTGCTAGAGGAAGCGAATGAAGAGTTAAAAGTGTTACGACGTAAACAACGCCCTAGTGGTAATCAATCCTATATCTCTAGTTCTCTCTTTAACGTACCATCAGATTCACTGGCATCAGAACTAGAACTATCTATGAAGAGTGAAGAACATCCAAGTGGTTTGACTATTGAAGACAGAAGGTAAGGAACCAACCTATGAAACCTTTTCCCAACTTCTGGTCATTGGAATAGGCCACAAAGCTGCAACTTTTTTTGCTTCTCTCCTGTCAATGAAAAAATATTACAGGGATAGTAGTGTTGAATGGGAGAAAATCAAGATTTGATTATTTTTATGGTGAAATTTCTCTCATTTTGCTCATTTTGTGTCAGTGATCATGTACACTAGTCGAATTAGGTGCCAAAAAGGAAGGAAAAGAAACTCCATTCCATTAGATGCATATCTTTTCCTTCTCGATCTAGCCAAACTTTTTAAAAAATCCTTGTATTTTCTCAGTCATTTCATGAAATAGTCAATCATAAAGATTTTATATTACATTGAAAACATATATCAGTCTCTTGAATTGTTTATGTCAGAGCTCATAGCTGGAAAGTTTTTGAAACAGCCAAAGCTGCCAAGAAAGCTGCTAAGAAACGACAAGAACAACAGTCTCGCAGTACTAGTATGATGTTTCAATCCTCTACAGCAGTGGAATTTAAAATTGGTTCCAGTCGCAACTCATCATCATGCCAACTATCAGATGGAGAGTCTCAGTATACTAGTGATGGATATGGTGGGGATTTAGACAGTGTTCTAAGGTACTGACTTAATTTTAATCTTTCTCTATGCTTTACCTGAAAAATTTAGTTGTTCGTCTTCAGTAAGAGCTGTGGAAGGGAGATAATCAATATCATGGGAGCTAATTTACAATTGATTTGACACTCATGCTTATATTTAGCTTTAAAAAAATTATAATCCTTTTTACTTGTTTACCCCTCTAAATTATTCTAATCACCTGCAGAAAAGTGGGACATAAAACTCCATAGCATATTGAAGTGCGCTGTTCGAAACAGCTCAATAACAGTAGCTGCAAATACATATGCTGTAAAACAAAATTTCATTTCGCCCTTAGATTAGCAACTCTTCTAAATGTATCCATTTCAAAATTTTTTTTCTAGTGTGGAATCTGATTTGGGAAGACCAGGAATTCCTGGATCCAATGATCTGGAGTCAGCATTAAAATTGTTAGCATTGAGAAAAGCAAATGAATTAAATGAGAAGGATTTTAAAGAAGATCAGAAAAAGAAGGAAGCGAAACAAGCTGAATCTGGGATGTCATCACCTGGTATGGCCAGATCACCTAGCAACATGTCAACAGGAAGTAACTTTTCCTTTTTGTCGTATCCAGGAAGTAGCAACCATCAACATCATTATAAATTCCCTGAGAAACTTCAGATAGTTAAACCAATGGAGGGTAGGTTCAAAAGTTGTCTGCTTCAAATTGCAATAACATTAAAATATTTTATCTAATGAGATGAGATAGTGTTCACTGCAATATTTGCAGAGATAAGAAGAATTTGAAAATAGGTTGAACACAGAAATTTAGTTGCATTCTAAAGATAAATTTTTATGCTTTTGATTCTCTTATTTAGAAAGAGTTGTATCTAAGCCTGTCTGTTTTAATTTAATCAGGAACAGAAAGGAGGACACAAAGCTCCATTTCATTTCATCTTGTCTATTTCAGGATCTGCTACACTAAATAAGTGGCAACAGTTGGCCACACCTCATATTGGTGGTATATTTGAGAACCGACCAGGTGTACAGATTAAGGGTGAAAGGAAGTTAGATCTAGATGATGAGTTGTATACACTCAGCGATTATGAGGAGGATGGTAAGTTTATTAATATTATATACACAGTTTACATGGTCATCTTCATATTCTTGTATCAATTTTGCATTGAGCTGTCAGCTATAGATTTCACAAACACATTGGTGATAATAAATCAATTTTGTGTTCAGTCTGGACATTATTATATAAGTTGTCAGAAACATTGACTTTACACTAGTGCAATAAAATGAGGTAATGGATGCTTGGGTTGATTTAAAATGCATAATTGAAAAATTTGATATTTGCTTTCATGCACAAGCTTCAGTATATGAAAGGTTGAGGGTTTTCCTATTTAAAGGACTAGATGAAAAAATCAGGAATAAATTTTGTCACATACAGAAATATGAGGAACGAATATGAAACATTTCCTAAATGAATAAATTTAATTTCCAGCAAAATGGAAAAGTGAAGGTTGGAAAATTTGAGTGATTTTCTCATTAATAATAGTTGTAGGCAAATAAAATAACGCATGTGCCTGCATGAAAAAAAAAATAGTATGACTGCTTCAAGTAGATTGAGTGAGAAACTTTGCATCAAATGATGAGCTTTTAGTAATAAATTGCTCGAATTTTTATGAATTTTACTTAAAATGCAGTCAATGAAATAACCATGATTCTTACTAGAAACAAACCTAAAAGTAATTAGTGAATTTAGATAAACCATAGCATGTACATTATCGACAATGATATTGGCTGGATTGTGAAAATTGAATTAGATTATATTATTATTGAACAGGAGAGAATATTTTGTTATTGAATAGGAGATATACTAGTCATGTCTATATATAGAAACAGAGTACAAATTGGCCAAAATTGACCAAACAGTCCAGGAGTGGTACCCGAGTGCTTTGTGTGAAACTGATGAAGCCTGCTTACACTCATAGCATTGTAAATAATAATTTAGTGTTCCGTTCTGTTGCTATCCGTAATAGCACTAATTCTGATTGATTCTGTTAAGTCTATTATACTGATGGTTTTATTGAATGTCAATAGGCCCTTTGTATAACTTTATTTATGATGTACCTGTTTGTATGTACATTGTATTATGTTATATTGTAGATGATCATTCGGACTGTCCTAGTAGAAGAGTAGAGGAGAATTCTTGTGTCTATACCTACACTAATTCTACAGTGAAACAACCTGATAATCATAATCAAATAGTCAGGTAGGCCTCTACTCTATCTTTACACCCCCTAGGTTGTTTACCGCATCTTCACATCCTTTAGATTATTATTTTGCTGTTGATTATAAACTTCTAGGAGTTCCTTAGATACTATTAGTACAACCTGTGAAGAAATCTACCCCATATTGTTGTTTGAAGAATACTGAGTAATAAAATCTTCTGTTTCTGTTGTAATTTCATTGAAATTGTGTACATCTTAAATATAAATATATATGATTTTATTTGAATTTGTTATTTTATTGTATCAGTGCATGTTTGTTGCTTTTTTATTTTTTTTTTATATTTGCTTTGCAATGAACTGACCTAATGGAGGAAAACTAAGAATTATCGTCTCTTCGCTTCATTCATTAACATATTTTGCTAATTTTGTGGAACTAACGATCATTCGTTTTGGAATTATATAAATAACTTGGACATTAACACAGGGCATTTTTCAATAAAATCATTCCACCATCTTTGTTTTTAGAAACTGCCAAGATGACAGCCAAGCCAGTGGTGATATTTCTCAAAACTCTACATGGTAATTTACTGCTGGGTCTACCAGATTTTATTTTTAATAGAAAAAAGAGAGAAAAGAGTCTGACACATCTGTATTTTGAAAAGATTATTCCAAATATTTCTAAATGTCATAGTCTCTACATATTTCATAAAATACTTACTATATACACTTTCTTGACTTTGAATATCAGAAGTTTAAACTAAAAAACATTGTTTTGATTTTGCTTGTTGATGTTATTTTATTTGGCTATTTTTTGTATTCTTTTGTTTGCATGAAATTGAAATTAATTCTCACTATGTGATCCAGAACACATAGTTAATTTTGTCACTTCTATTTACAGTGTTGGTACCTCTGTAGTCATGACGCCTATGCAAGCTTCAACACCAGCAAAAAGCAGCAAGTCATCTAACACTTCATCGACTGCAAGTGGCAGCATGTCACTCGGACTAGCAGCTATATTATCAAATCGCACAACCTCAAATTTAGACTCTGGTGTTGGAATGAGAAACAGCATTTCTAAATTCAATCTTCCATTGATGAATGCAAGATCAATGTCAAGGTCATCAGGGACATCCCCAAAAAGGTCATCTCCTGAAAATGTCACACCAACAAACACATCCCCACTGGAACAATCGGGTGCAGATCTGTTTAATAAAATTAAAAGCACTGGTGCCACCTTCATGGGATATCTTGGTGGTGCAAAAGTAAACTCTAAATCACCAGAGGCACCAGAGAGCAGCACTGAACCTCAGGTCAAGATCATTGACTCTACATCGGCAAGTGAAGCAGAGAAAAGTGTATCTAGTACTCTCTTACATAAAAGTGGCTCTAGTGTGTTAGGGGCATTAACTTCTTTCCGTCGTAGTGGAATACTATAATTTGCATATTAGAGGTGTGCATTAATTGCATATCTCTATATAAGTTTTAATCTTTCCAAATGTCTTTCAAATCAGTTATATATTGATTATTTAGTGTGTAGAAATATACCAAAAACTATATAGTGATATTTGTATAAAGAAGACTTAATTAATTATGCACATAATTAATTTGTAGACATTCTTAATCTCAAGCGAGACTGATTAAATTATAAATACAAGAGTGCTTATTATATATTTTATGTGAAATAGTGTGTGATAATAGAATTGATCCTAGCAGGTGCCTGTGGTGTGAATGAAACTTATTTCTGATGGTGTGAACTGAGCTTGATTTCAACAATGCAACTCACCTTTCTAATATTCAGTTACTTAGCAGTTACTTGAAATGTCAAGCTTAAATTGAATATTCAGCCAAAAATGAAGAGTTTTCTCCCTTCATGCAGCCAACAAAACTTTATATTACTTATCTCTATTCTCAAAATCAAAATCAAATTTAGATTCTTATATATTCTATTCTTCTTTATTCTACATTGATGTTGTAATACTCAGAGTTTCATGCAATTATTCAGATGACCAGACTATTCCAAATAAAGCCCAGTTATCTGTAGATTGCTCAATGAGAGACTGTGAGTTACATATTTTAGGTTCTGTTTTAAGCTTTCTATTCTGTTCTTCACGTATTAATCTATAATCTATAATATATACATATATATAGACAAACTATTAATATAATATAATAATTCCATGCTGCATAGGTTTTATATTGATATTACTTATCATAAAAAAGTTAGTATTTTCAAGAATTCAAATTAAGAAATTAAAATCTGAAACAATTTGGTTTAGAAATGAGTTGCTTTGTTGATATATAAACAAAAGATAAAAATTGGATATTGTGAAGTCTAAAATATAGAAGTAATATTACTATATTTAGGCTTCTGCCTTCCCAGTTTAATTGGAATCTATTTATTAATTTATTACCTTCCTCTTTCTTATCATTCCTTGTAGTTTTATTTATTCTTATATTAAAGAAATAACTAATTCATAGTTAAACAGAGACACATAGAAAGCTTTTAAAGACAAAAACTGTTGGTAAATATCAAGGTACAGATATTGTTTGTTGTCTACTAATTAATAGGAGAAAATATTAGTACTATAGGAATTTGACAGTTTTTTGGAGTCAACTGGAAATTCAGTAAAGAAGTTCGAGCAGCATGTAAATTCCATAAAGGTTGTGGACCAAAAGAATATATCTTATACATTTTTTTCATGTTTGACTAGATCGGGATGACAGAGCAGTCTTTTAGTAATGTAACATTACCTAATTTTCGTAAGATAGAATATTTCGTAAACTTTTCTAGGTAGAGTTGAGTGGAGCCATCTTCTGAGAGATTTTAGCTTTAGAATACTGTTTTTAACTGATTGTTTTCATAACAAGATTTCTGTCTAACCTGTGAATTTCTTTCTTTATATTGGACAATTTAGCAAAACCTGAAACAATTAATTTTATGTCTACAATTGGAACAATTTTATTTTGTCCATTTTCTTTTTGATTTTCTATCACTTTTTAAACATACAATTTGGGCAAAAAAAAAAAAAAAGTTGGTATGTTTTATCAGGAGACTATATAGTTTTCAATTTGAAAATGTATACTGAATTTTCTTAAGGAAGATTTATAGAAATTAGTATTAATATTTATGTAAAAACTTATGTTTTTAAAGTACTGTTGTATTTTTATTGTTTAAAGAATGAATGGAGTATGGAGTTGTAGTTAAAATATTTGGTATAAATTAAAATGTATTTACCTTTTATCTAACATTTTTGAAGATCATGTGTTTGTTTTTGGCCCCTAATTTTGTATTAAATTACAATATAGCAATAATTTATGTTCCTTCTGACAGTTTAAAGATAAAATCAAACATTGTACTTAGTAAGTTGATCTAAACTGAATTTTAAACTGAAAATTGTACCATTTTTCGGCCCCTGTAAATTGTTTTTTTAAAGAAATTTTCATATCTTTTCTAATCTTTTTGCAATCATTCGAATTTTTTGTAAATTGTATTCTTTCAAATATTCCATTAATTTGTACATGCCCCCCCCCCCACCCCCATATTATACTGTGTAAAATGTTAGACTAATGTTATATATATTATATATACTGTGTGTTAGTAGTGTGCTAGATAATACACTTGTTTTTGACTGCAGGATAAATATATGAATAAAAAATGACAAAATAAACTGAGAATCTTTTTTTTCTTAGATAACAGAAGTGGTATCATTTAAAAGATATTTTATATATTAGTCTGGGTAAAGAAACCAGTTATTATAAGTTATAAGTATACCGTAATGTGCATGTGGCACGAGCACATCAATCACAGACATCACAGGTCAAGATCATACCTTCAGACTTTTCAACCCGGTTTCCCCCTGTCAGTGATGCAGGTAAGAGGGACTGACATGGAAATAGCATCTAGTCGTTTGGATGGGACAATTTACCGAGGCCCTTTGTTCTACAGACTGTGCACGTTAAATATTTAAAGATTCCTCAACATGTCCGTCCATCGGTCCGTCCACAATAGCAAGACCAGACACAATTCTTGACGGATTTTGACAAAACTTGGTATGAATGTTCGTAATCACCCAAGGATTAACCCTATTGAAATTCAGAAGAATCGAAAAATAGTTAGTATAAGTTATTGCCCTTGTTCTTGAAAACACGTTCAATTTTTAGCTCGTAAACATCCTAGAAGGGACAATTCTTGATGGATTTTAATGAAACTTGGCATGAGTGTTCGTAATCACCCAAGGATAAACCTATTGAAAATCTGAAGAATCGAAAAATGTTTAGTATGAGTTATTGCCCTTATTCTTGAAAACGCGTTCAATTTTCTGCTTTTTCCCTAATTTATTAATAATTTAAATATGTTATGTGGAGCCGAGTATGAACAGCAAAGTACTAGCTGATCCAGTCCCTCCAACCAAATCTTGTGGTTTTTTATCCCGTAGATACTCTACTGCCTTTTGTCTGTGATTTGAGTCCAAAGGAGCAACAGCTGCATAACAGAATGCTTTCCATCCCTGGAATATTTACAAAATGAAAGTACAACAACAGGCCATGCATTAATATGAAGCCCAGATTGATGTCTGGTATATGTTCAAGTGCAGCAGTACATGTAAATTACTATCCTGCTCTTAGCTCAATTGGAGGTAATAATTGAACATCCCGATCTTTGTAAACCTGCATTAGATCAAATCTCAAATATCATAAGCCTGATAACAGTTTACTATCCTTTCTTTAAGTCTCGTTTTAAACTAGGGTGGTCAGGTGATGCCTGTAATACGCTGACAATATTGTCATCATTTTACAATTGGTTGTAACTCGCAATAGTGGTTTGAGCAGTGATTATCTGACTAATAAAACGTCTTACCACTGCCAGTTGTTTCATGTCACTGGGATCAGTCTGTTTATATTTGGGAGCTGAACTTGGATTGATCGCCCAGTCACATGTCTGCTTAATGCTTTTAGCCCATTCCTGGAAATTATGATGTTGAAATTTCTTAATTTTGCGCTGGATAACCTGGGGTATGCGACGTTCATGTGATCATAGTGTAAGAAGGTGATGAGAACATGGTCTCATAAAAACCCTGGTCTCGATCAAATTCATAGTGTTATGCTAATACTATTTCTTTCTTTCAAAACCCGAGGAGAAGAGATGTTATCATGGGAGGACACAAAATCACTGACAAATTGACCCTGGTAAATTTCATTATCGCGTGATCTTACCTGATCCACCCAATATTTAGATACAGCAGTGATAGGTATGACTTGAATTCCCACCAAACAACCATGTCTCATTGGGAACTTGTTGGGATCACAGGCCCAATCTAGAGTGTAAACATACCAGGCATTCTCAGCAATCTGACCAACCACACCAAACTGTTGTAGTATTGGGGGAAAATGTTGTCGATTATGTTGACGCACTTGCCAATACTCCCGAACAGACAGTATCTCTGTTGCCAGAAGGATCTGACCTGTATGCTTCATATTTTTGTCACCAAAAGCCTCCCCTAATGACGCCAGTCCATGGTAGCAATTTATGCTCTGGAATAGAAATGTGAAGATTTATTAATCAATTATATTGACTGTTGTCTGATAAACATAGAAAAGAGAATCAGTTTCTTCCCTTCGAATGAGACTGGCTATTGTAGCTGGGGTGTTAGTATTTATGTATAATTTCAACTGTCTATTGTTATATCTTACATCGCCTTTGATACCCAATGTGCACATGACAGAAACGATATTATTTGTTAAGTTATTAACACACAGTTGATATATACATATCAATAACTTTAGGGGAAGGATTTGTTCAATCTTACCTCAGGTTATATACATGATAAGTGGTTAACCAGTGTTATAAACCCTAACGAACCACAGGGGTTTTAGTCAAATGTAAGGCAGGCAAAGGGTTCCTTTATTTCAATAACCATCTGGGTTCAGGGTCACTCTTGGGTTAGCGGAGAAACATGTTGCACTAGAGTATGGAAAATCCGGGGGGGTGGGATCTCCCTTTTTGGTTTAGACTCGGGGTTATATTTATTGTTTAGTATTCAGTGTTAGTTAGTTAGGTTATTGGATGTAAATAAAGTGTTTGTTAATATTGTAAGCGTTAGTATCAATTGAAGGAGAGTGTCCGTATCCAGTCTCTTACAAACGACTATACAGTTTGTAAGAATGATCTACTTTGCAGTTTGCAAGTAGAACCCAAATAACAAGCATGCCAAAAAGCAGCCTGTCTACAGTCAGCTTGTCCAAGACAACAAGCAGCATGTCTACAGTTCAGAAAGAACCTGCCAATAAGCAGCCCGTTTACACTATGCCATAAAAGATTGTAGTGTGTTCCATAATACACCTACATCGAAAGGACCCTGATCGTCTACCAAAGGCAATCAACATATTTTGCATTGGTCAGAGTTTTGTTTATTCCTTACCTCAGAGGCAGATTCCTCTTGTCTATCATTAGGAACAATGCCAGTTGCCCAGGAGAAGCCAGTGTAGATATCTTTATGTCGGGCTACAGGGAATCTCTTGTCTTTATTGGACGGGTTACCAACATCTCGAGCCAGAGAATAAATCCTAGCTTTGTTTGCTGAAAATGTATCTTGGGTCAAAACGAGGCGTTGAAAAAGAATTGAATAGGTTTCAAATACAGATGAAAAAAATACACGTATATCTTTCAAAGACAGTGCTCCTCTCTGATCGCAATTCCAGATTAAATCTATACTGCTTAGCATCATTTAAATGTCAGTACCAACATGCTCAGACTGGAAGATCTTATCATTATCATATCTACATCATATGAAGTGTTCTTAATAAGTAGAAATTTCAACTCAACACGTCCATCAGATTAAAAGCTTCCAACTTACCAAGTCCCCAAGATTTGTAGTGTTTAACATAATAACTGATAGCATAAAGAAAATATCCAAGATGGAAATGGTGATCGTTATAATAAGGAAAACCATAATCTGTACCGTAACCTAGATCACCATCAGTCGCCCGGAGAAACAATCCTCCCCATACGTTATCATAGTGGAACTTCCATTTATTTTCAAGTGTATCTGCAATAAACATCCCATATTGGTTATGATAATAACAGTATTAGCTCTGTGGACTCTCCGAAATGGAAGCATAGTTGACAAATCCGGTCATAGAGTGGCATCAGGTGCTGTTGAAGAGTGACCCACAACCGCTTGTTACCTAGTTGGTTTTTGTATACCTTGATTTATTTTTCTTAGGCAAGTTACAGTTACATCTTGTTGATGCATGCGCTTAATTAATGTTATATGCCTTAATAAACCGTAATTCGCACACACAGCTAAGGATCAATGACTTGAACAATATCTTACCATGAATTCTAAGCCATTTCTCTAAACATGATTTGAGAGAAGAGTCAAGTTGGTGGAAATGGTTGGTTCCAAACGCCCTGGAAATACTGGCCAAACGAGATACCAAACCTAAAGCTTTACCAACATTATAACTATCAGAATGTGGACACACAGCGTTTAGGTTCACATTGGCTGCATCTCTAGCAATAGCATCCTTTATATCCTGAAGAATATGCATATGATAAATACAAATTATATCAATGTAATTATAAGCTTGACAAGAAGATTAGCTCTTCATATGCCATACACTGTTGAAATGGACGATCAGTACAGTACAATTTGAAGAATCTTGATTCTAATCCGATTCTCATATCAGATCTGAAGTCAAGTTTTCGAAAACTAAAACGAAGGATGTCTTGCAATGTGTCCCTAACTGCAGTACGAACATAAAAATTCCTGCATGTGGGTTGGTTGGTAGATGACAAGTTAACGTCCACTTTGAACAGAAGCTGATATCGCTGACTACTGTCAGGTCGAAGGACATAGCGGACAAACCCAGGCCTTTGAATTTGAGATTCAACAAAGTAATTCACAAAGACCTCATGAATATGCGTGAGAAGAAGATGAATAGCGATATTCATCAGTTTGTTGTGAACCTACCTTTAAATCGTGTGAACTGTGTTTTATTCTATTTATAGCACCAGAATCAGGTTCCATAGAAGCTGGTTGTAGATCGAGTTCCATAGACCAGTCGTTTCCTTCAAAACCTTTAAACCCGTACATGGTGTTTTTTAATTCCTTAGCGTGATGCTTCTGTAATAGCAGTACCTACAACAAAATCCGTGTATGCAGAAGGATAGATTAGTTCTGTTAAAAATGCGATTTCCACCAGTATTATTAGTGCAAAAGTATTTCTCTCGCAATAGAAGTACGGTGTGTAATTGGCTGAAAACAAAGTTTTTGTTGGGTGACATGATCGTATCCAATTGATAATAATTAAAAATGAAAAAATAAAGTTAATGTATGTGGAATAAGTAAGCGGATCTCGACTGATTCTGCATCCGACCTATTGATTAATAGCTTGTATGGTACGAAACAATCGTCAACAGAATACGTATTATGGTAGAAAGATACACCCGACTTACGTGATGTGGCATTGCAACCATTAGTAGCTTCTTGTTCATTGCCTCTCGTCCTGAACTGTCTTTAGCATTCCAGTCGAAACTCATATAGCCTTTATTCCTCGATTCACTGACACAGAACGAGACGTAGGGTTTGTAAGAATAGATGCCAGCATGGGCATCCAGAAAGTCATAATGGGACTTATCTCCTCGTGGACCAGCCCCTAAATATCCTAGTTGTACTAATCCACTGTAAGGTTTCCCGGAGTGAGAAAAGGTGATTATCCCATTGGATTGATCCACAGATCCTTGAACACTTTCCGAAAAGTATAAGACGAACTTCCTAGTCTGGTGGGGAAGGTCTGTTCCTGGTTCGTTCAGCTCCATCACAAATTTCTTACTAGCTGCCAGGTTGTGTACAATATTAGGTTTGTGTGTTGAACCAGAGTGTGGACTCTGTGTGTGGGTATTATGCGTGTTTCCTGTCTTCCCACTGTTAACAGAAGCTCCACCACAATGAACTGTATAAGCATCCTCAAACCAACGAGATCTGGGTAAGGTTGTGAAACCAATTACGTTAATTGCAACTCTAAATAGAAAATAAAGCAGAAATGAATAAAATCGAATCAGCTGCAGGGTGTCTTTAAAAGTTGATCCTTGTACGCGATCAAGTGACAACATTGTTGATTTATGAACGGAATTAGAAAGAATAACAACAGCATGGTTCATACCAATAAGGTAATTGATCCCTACAAATCAGTACAAAAGGTCTCTCTAGAGACAAATACCTGGTATGGTGCTAATAATGCTAAGGCTGCCCTCATCCTACATAGCTTAGCGACCATCCTAATATCACTCCCCCTTGAATTCCTTACCTAACAACATCTGAACTAACTTTCGTCTTGATTGTTATTTCGGATCCATGTCGAGTACAGGCAGAATTGGTACATTGATGCATTGCTGGCATACTCTTCCAGTTACTGGTTGTTTCTACTGCATACTGGATCTACAAATTGTTCAAATATTAGCCCTAGAGATGATCTGCAGGCAGGGTTAAGACACGGCAGGACACAACATGCTCAATATTAGGAATACAAATTTCGAACCAGATATGCTTAATGTTTTAAAATGCACAATAAATTATAAATAGTTCTGCGTCCTTAAAATTCGGGTCTTTAGGTAACAGAAAGTGACTAAACCGCGACCTTAAAAAGTTGATCTACCTTATTGATTCCAGGTATATTATTGCCTCCGACATCAACCCTGATTTCTAGATTTCGCTGATGATCACATTTTGCATTCAGACTAATCTCTTCTGGACTACGCTTCTCTATATCTGATCTCTTACCACTCCCCCCACACTGAGCTATTTGTGGGTGATCACCCCACGCCCAAGGTATTACATAATGACCAATGTAGTTCAGAGCAAACGCCATGCTACCTACATGAAGGAGAGTAGACGACATTTTATAACAAAATTTTAGTTCGATCCATAATAGAAAACTCAGTATTCAACAAGCAATAGCAATACAGTTGACCAGGAGATCTAAGCGTATATGCTTGATGATACGCACAGGCATTCATGCTGTTGAAGTATAGTACAGCAGTGAAAGAAACTTAAAATTTAAATTCAAATTTAACACTACTGCCGTGCTAGGCCGTTTTGCCGTTTCGAGCTGCCTGGAAATCATTATCACAACCTTTGGCACACAGGCATTCGTATCCCCCCCCCCCCCCCCGCCCCCCCAAAGTACAGGTATTTACCTGAAGCATGTGGTATTGTGATAGAAACAGTTTTACGATCGGACGAGAGGTGACAATGGTTGGAATCACAGGTTGTCATTCCACGTTGCGACCACGTAGGTTCAGATCGGGCTGCCCACTGAACCTTAGTAACATCTGGTATGGGTCTAGTGTTATGCAGGGTGATATGAAGATTGTCACTATGACATTCTCCTGACAGAAACCCGCTACCACCATCAGCCGCTGGAAAGATAACAAAAAATACAAGTAGCAAGACAGTGCAAAATAAACAGAACTTTTTCACAGAGTGTTGCGTAAAGAGAGCTTTTGACTAGTACTTCAGTAGAAGCATTGGGCTCGTCAAACCCTATCCAGTATAGACTATGCTGTAGCCGTGTTCACTATTATTACTTATGACTATAGACCCATAACAAACCTGATGGCTCTCCGGGGCAATCAAAATTGACCTTTTGTCCATTTATGGAGCTCAAACAATATGGTTTGACTACCGGATTAGCGTTCTTGATGATGTGTGTTGGCAAGGGAGCTCCTCTTACAACTGGCACCTGCAAAAATTAAAACCTGTGCCTAATAGAGTACAACTGTAAACCAAGTGGTGTAGCCCAAAAATCGAGGTGTATGTTGATTTTATTATCAACGAATAATATTACAGCAATAAGGCACATAGATTTTAATCCAGAGCTAGATTGTCTCTGTTGAGTGTATAAGCACGCCATAGTAAGGCAATAAAACAAATTCTGGATTACAAACCAAAGTTGTGTTCTTTTAGCAGAGGTATCCCCTGTTTTGTATAAAAAATTATTCTGTGGTGTTCTGAAAGAACTAAGCGGTTTATATTCAGGTGGAATATGATTGAATGAAAGATACCTCCATTGTGCCTGTGCTACCATGAAACATGAAATTTGCATACAAGTCACCAAAATCCGTTAATGTTGGCTCTCCGGAGCCAGTAATACCAATCCTAACACCAGATTTTCCTGTAATGAATTTGCAAAATATCATTTATTTTTCTTTGTTGTCAATAGACCAATTGCATTTGAAAGATATGCGAAAGGATCATATTCGGTCCATAACAATGCCCTTATTAGTAATCATACTTTGATAAAAAAGGAGAAGGAAATATTAATGCCCCGAAACCCTCTATAACAATAGTGGCTCTTTTGCACTTGTAATCCCCCCTCCCCATTTAAGCAGTCTACGCTTAAGGTCTGTAATAAACGAAAGTTAATTATTCAACAAACATTGTCCTAACCTGTGAAAACGCCAAGAGGATTTCCATCCGGTCCAGCTACCATTTGTTTCATGTTTGTTCCCAATGAGTCCAATCTGTTCCATGGTTCTCCAGCTTTCCATGCAGACTGCTGCTCCATGAAATCAGTTCGTTTTGGATCATTCCACCTGTCCATTGTATAGGCATCGTAGGTAACTCCACCTTTGTCCATATTAGCTGAAGCAGTCAAAGACAAGAAGCTGAATGTTGAGGGCAGATACCCTTGCAATATCTTCATGCTAGTGTAACAGGATCATGTAAACTACACCACTGACTCACATAGACGGCTTTATATAGTTACATCATTAAAGCAGACCTTAGCTGTTTATAAACCATTTTAAATGATTCTACGCATGCTTTTCATTCAGAAAGCTAGTTACATTGGTCATTTGATGCTATCCCTAGCTTACCTTCAAATGGAAAGAGTCGCATTGGAACGGGAGTCCCCTTTATCTGGTTGGTAACAAAATGGCCTGTAGGTAGTGGTCTGGATTGACGAAGATTGCCAACTCGTACTGGTTTAGCATGTCCGGATATCTCATTGTTAGCACCGAATATAGAGATTGGGTCTGTCGAGTCTAACGGATGTTCATCCAGGTGGACACAATCATTCAGATGTGGGAGTGCAGCTTCAACATTCACCCAGCCTGAAGAATAAATAAATTTATGACATTCCCCTTGCTAAAGTAAATGTTGTTCTTTTAATATCTATAATGCTAAGTATAATAACAGTGATACAAGTTGTTAGAAAATAAAAACAATTCCTTTGATTGCTAATGTCACCCATTCAAAGTCAGCGTTTTGTCATTTTTATCAAAATTTGGGTGTAATTTAAAAACAATTCTTCTGATTACTACATGTGGTTTGAATAGTTACCAAATGGACGAAGAGTGTAATTTAACATAACTTACAAATTACAAAAAAAAAAAAATATTTATAAATCATGGATCTGGTTTTCATTGTGACCGCCATGCCACAAAGTCTGTTATCAGTGCAATATCGGGCCCACGTCTTATCTCTTTATCTCATCACACTAAGACCCATTTACAGAATAAAAAAAAAAATAAAGAGATATTGGATTATGCGTCATAGAAATATGTTGAAGGATCCAATTTTTTTCAGAGACAGATCAGACCTGTATACTTACCGTTGTTTTCTGAGCGCCCTTCTGTCACAATACGTAATCATCATAGACCAGAATCCCTAGAATGACGGGAATAGCTCCTCTACTTTACTCCCCTACTCTAGTTTGATGCTTGTAGCACCTCCAATGAAATTTACTACAAGTGTCTTTATAGGCAAGATGTCCCTGCCTGGTTGTTGTTTGAAATTTATCTTGTAAGGCAGTGAAAATAGTTAAGTTCTATTCTCCTTTAAGTTAATTGTATTTAGTTGCTCAGTGTAGTACTGGGAAATAGTATACCAGACAAAAGCCAGATAATACTTAAAATAAGAGAAGTCTACAGACTCTAATATACATCTTGAACCTTTCCTTCAACTGACAGACGTATTGGACCACTAAAACAAAAAAGACCTTAGCCTGACTTAATTCATTGTTCTTAATTTTTGTTACAACAATGACAGTCATTACTGTTCAGTTCTTGTTTATTACCAGGAAGTAATCGACTTGATGTAAGAAGAAGTGTAAAGGAGTCCCTGGTGATACTGTTTGGAAACGCGAAGTGGCCATACTCCTAAATGATAATGTAGATTTTGGGTAGAATTTGGATATTAAAAACTCAAATCATTGCTACATGTACCGTGAAGGTTGCGAGATGAGCTAGACCCTCTTTAAGGATACCATAAACGAGTGCTATCTGCCGTTTAGATATAAATGATAAGAATACATGTCCTTAAATTCATATATTTAATTAACTGAAGCTGTTATTATGTTAGATATATGAAGTATATATTGTCTGATTGATCGATCATATCTTATTCAATTATGTATCATTTCAAATATTGGATGTTAATTAAGAGGCTATCAATTGGAGAGAGCTTTAAGGTTTACGATGTCTTGTAAGGGTTATATACAGTAGTCATACATTACTGGAAAAGTTTGCTTCTTTTGCAATTTAGAGACATCTCGAGGCACAGAGAAATAGATATCCTACCCCTTACTTCGTAATTAAGCATATAAAAAGGCAGATGTTACTACAGTTCTTCTAGTAAGCATTTTTGCTTATTTTAAAATGTATGTACATTTATAAGAAAATCATAGACGCAAAAAGGTTTACATTGAAGCGTTTACAAATCAAAGACACCATAAATCTTAGTTCGTGGAAGCGTGTATACGAGCTGTCATCGATGGTATAAAGAGATTAATATGGCTATAATATTGACCAGGAGCCAGTGGTCAGTGTAAAAAGACTGGCATGTAATCTATCTTTTATTGATTAAGGAATTACTTATATTGTCTCTCAGCTAGAATCTCAATTTCACCACTTTACTTTTCACAATGAATATACCAGATAAGTCTTATAAGCTATCAGGCCCCTCCGAAAGAATTGTCGAGGTGGCATTTCTGTCCATGCTATGGACATCCACCACATTCAACATGGGATGATGTACTATCGTCAATTTGTTTTTCTGAAAACATTCTCTCTTGGGTTTCTTCATAGTAAAATTCATCTTTCAGAGACGCAAGACCTCTAACTTAATTTATTATTCCAACATAGCACGAAAAAAGTGGACGAAATTCAGTTTTATTTCAAGTGCCCAATGTGATGTGGAACTCCTCATTTTCTTTTTATATCTTGCTCAATAATAGTTTCATGCCTCAAACTGACATTTCCCCAGCCACTATCTGTATCTGATTAAAGACTCAAATCATCTCGGAAATGAAATATGAAATCCAAATTTATCAATACAAATCCATAGAAAGTTAAAAATTGATTTTTCTTTTCACATGGAACTGTCTGGCACAAGTCAAATGATAATGACCAGAAAACAGACGTATGGAAATTATGGAAATTGAGAACTGATCATTCCTTGCTTATCTCTTATTGAACAAATGCTACTCAAAGTAATACAATGTTCAAAATTTAATGATACAGCGAGCCTTCGTCTAGCTTGCAGTTCAGATGATACCTTAACTGACCATGATTAACTTTCAGAAACACTTGGGCAAACGAGAATCATCTTTTACAAAGGTAACAAAATGACCACAATACTTGTAAATCATGTAATTGAGAGCTGACATGGTTCTATCTATCGAACAAGCAAGCTCACCAAACTCCTACCCCTCGTTAAACAAGACTAACTGTTCCATAAACAGATAACAGTGCTGGTACTGGAGCAGACCATCCCCTTGTTTGTTATCTCGTTACGTTTGGTGTTAACAAACAATATTAGGCTGCAATAGTTGACGTCCTTTGTTTGAAATGCTGGTAAGGTGCGATGCTTCTGAAAAACAGCTGTATTGCAGTTGATCAAACTGATTAAACCTAGTGGTGCCTTGGTGACATGCAATTTTTAACATTTGTGAAAGGGAAGTTTAATGCAACTCCTATCTCATTGTGGTCGAACAGAAACGTTTCTCTGAATGAACATTAATTATGAATAATTGCTCTCTATTTTACATGTAAGGTGACATATTTTAACGTTATTAATAGATTTCCGAAAAGTCAATCACCAAGTTTCTATATAGTTATGTGATATCAAATATTATCTCACACCACCTACATAAAAAATCTTATAGCGGTAAATTCGAAAAAACCTCGTTCCAACTCTACCGGATATTTAGTTTCACGCGAAGTTATCATGCGCCAATAGCTCGGTTCCATATTTGGTATCAATGGAAGCAGACGATAGTGCTATTATTTCTAAATAAGGTAAGAGAATATATTTCTACATGTTAGTGACACCCCGGGGAAACATTTGCTATGATTATGACACCCGGTATCATTTCTGTTTCCGCTCACGATGACGTCTGCGTCGACGTCTGCAAGTGTTGAGATCACGTGTGTTCAAGTAGTAACATGAAGTTTTCTTAAATAACATGAGCCTAATGGCCGTCTTCCAGTATATTGAATAGCAGATTGGTTTCTGCATGACTATGATGTGGAATTTGCTTGAAACTGATTGTCGGTTGTCACGCCATTGTTGATAGTTTTGGTGGTAAAACATTCGCTGCCATTCCTAAAGATGAGAGTCATGCCGTATCGGTTTTTTCGCCATTGAAAACAAGGATAGAACCCTGCACGTTCTACAGTGTTCAACTCTTAATACAAAACTCAATCAATAACCTTCATGTTTTTCTCAAGAAGCAAAGTTTATTACTAGTCTATCGTCGGTTGATTTGTTTCACAGACAGGCCTGTTTTTAACTTCAACCAAAATAGAAACAACATTTCACAATGGGCATTGAATAAAGCTATGGGAGTGATAAAAAGAAATAGTGTTAGGATCATCTTAACCTAAGTCAATACCATAAGGTTTTTTATTTTGATGTTCCTTGTTTGGTGATAAGTTTAGGGCATAGTGTCCCTTGTGATTTAACTAATGGTTTTTGTCATTTGTCTTCTTGTGATTTGAATAATAGTTTTGATAGATTTATGTCATTTTTTCATCTTGTGATTTGAATAATAGTTTTGATAGGTATATTTCAGTTTTCTTCTTGTGATTTGTATAATAGTTTTGATAGGTATATGTCGTTTTTCATCTTGTGATTTGAATAATAGTTTTGATAGGTATATGTCGTTTTTCATCTTGTGATTTGAATAATAGTTTTGATAGGTACATGTCGTTTTTCATCTTGTGATTTGAATAATAGTTTTGATAGGTACATGTCGTTTTTCATCTTGTGATTTGTATAATAGTTTTGATAGGTACATGTCGTTTTTCATATTGTGATTTGAATAATAGTTTTGATAGGTACATGTCGTTTTTCATCTTGTGATTTGTATAATAGTTTTGATAGGTATATGTCGTTTTTCATCTTGTGATTTGAATAATAGTTTTGATAGTTACATGTCGTTTTTCATCATGTGATTTGTATAATAGTTTTGATAGGTATATGTCGTTTTTCATCTTGTGATTTGAATAATAGTTTTGATAGGTACATGTCGTTTTTCATCTTGTGATTTGTATAATAGTTTTGATAGGTACATGTCGTTTTTCATATTGTGATTTGAATAATAGTTTTGATAGGTACATGTCGTTTTCATCTTGTGATTTGTATAATAGTTGTGATAGGTATATGTCGTTTTTCATCTTGTGATTTGAATAATAGTTTTGATAGTTACATGTCGTTTTTCATCATGTGATTTGTATAATAGTTTTGATAGGTATATGTCGTTTTTCATCTTGTGATTTGAATAATAGTTTTGATAGTTACATGTCGTTTTTCATCATGTGATTTGTATAATAGTTTTGATAGGTATATGTCGTTTTTCATCTTGTGATTTGAATAATAGTTTTGATAGGTATATGTCGTTTTTCATCATGTGATTTGTATAATAGTTTTGATAGGTATATGTCGTTTTTCATCTTGTGATTTGAATAATAGTTTTGATAGGTATATGTCGTTTTTCATCTTGTGATTTGAATAATAGTTTTGATAGGTACATGTCGTTTTTCATCTTGTGATTTGTATAATAGTTTTGATGGGTATATATCCTTTGAATTTGAATTATGGTTTCAAGAAGGTGAAGCTCAGTTGAATAATGGTTTTGATAGGTTTTTCACCTCGTGATTCTTCCATAAAAAAATCTTCGTTTTGTATGCAATTGGGTATTGATTCTGTTTCTGTGATATGTACTATCGAATCTCTCCGTGAGATTAACATTCATTTTAAAGCCATATGGTTTGTAGCCGTTATAGTCCTTAGTTCCAATATTACTAGTCCTCGTTACCATAAATAGTCATATCACATTTATTGGTCTTTGCTGACAGTTATCACTGATAGAGGTGATAATTCTCAAACAAGTTCTCCATTCATATCGAGTAAAAGAGATTTATAATCGACTGAGTAATTTTAA